CGCATGCGCATGGCGGCCGAGATTAATGTACCTCTGAGCTTAGGCTAATGAACACCAAACCGAAAACTAAGAAATAAATACCGATCTGATGCAAGAAATGGCTTTGTTCAGCCTTTAACAAATTGTTTTTCCTTAACAGAAGAAATTTGGCGAGGGTTGACGTTTACTACAAGAGCATGACAACAGAGATCATCCAACAAGTGCCAAGATACGAGGTGAATAAGACTGTATCCACAAGTTTTACAAAGTTTAAAAGACCAGTTTTGAATTATAAAAATTTATACTTGGCCCAGTGGCTGAGGGGGATAGCGTCCACTCTCTCTAAAGAGGACACTTTTGGGGCCGGCACATACTGTCCGTCTAAGGGTGATGTCCGTCTTATGGAGAGTCAAATAAAGGGAGCAGAGAAAAGTCGGGACCAACTCTTAGTGTTCGTATCGCCGAGGTGTCCGTTAAAAGAGAGTCCAATGTAAAACAAAACATGTCACTGGATATCGATGCGATTTCTTTTGATTTATAACCCCCGGCCTCAGAGTCAGGTATGAACTTTCAAAATTCGAAACTGGTCTTTGAAAACGTATTACTGTTGGGGATAACCCTGTGATGAACTGATATCCAATTCCGACCAGGAGGACTATTGACATTTCAAGGCCAGATAACGTAACTTTCAGACGTAATTGGTAACGTCTGGTGTTAAAATAAAGAGTTTGACCGGGGTCCGACGTCAATGGTTAAAGCAGCTGACCCAAGGTGTTTCACCCAACTGTAACCGGGCTGAGTACCATCCGTTTGGGTCACCTTGAGGGAGTCCATTCCTTTTAAGCGCGGTGGTTCCCTTGGGCTTCCTCGCAATTAGCCTTAAAATATTTAGAACTTGTTGCCTGTATATCTTAATGGCAAAACAATAAACTGAAACTGACGTGGGTCGTTGGCACAGCTCCTTTGTCTATATTTGGGGTTGATTCTTAAAGTAAACTTTTTATTTAGAAATAATGAAGCGTAGTATTGGAATAGACAGACAACACTCTGCGATGTACGAATATCATGGAATATTGATTCATCAGTAAATTTATTTTTGTACTTTATTTTCTTAGTTTAAAGATCTCATCAGCAACATCGGAGGTTCATTGGGACTTTTCGCAGGAGTATCTCTTTTGACTCTGCTGGAAATTTGCAAGTTGCTGTTTGACTTGGCGGGTTCGTTTTGCAAGAAATTTGAAGAAAAAGTAAACTCCGTCGACCCCGACATAAAGAAAAAGAAGAAAGAAATGACTTAAGCGTTGTAACATCGTTCCCAGATATTTTCCAGCCATGGGAACGAGGTTGACACCCATCATTTCGAAGTTAGTCTAAAAATGCCTCAGTCATTCCATACTCTGCAATCATTTGGCAACCACAATTCTTGTTGTTTTTGTGTTCCTTTTTCGTTTTCCTCTGGATGGAACAATTCTTCGGCGGAAACTAGCCTGCGTGGCAGGCGTTTGAAAGGGAAGGGAAAGGGAGCTTTGTGAAAGGGAGTTTTAGGCGCGAGAGAACGCGAGGGGCGCGAGGGGCGAGGGGCGCGAGGGGCTCCCTCCTCCCTCGCGCGTGGTCTCGCGCCCTAATTCCCTTTCCCTTCCCTTTCGAACGTCTGCCACGCAGACTAGCGGAAACCGTGTATAAGAAATCTCTGACGCGCAGGGTAGTCCAATGAAGCCTACGAGCCAGACCTCTATCTGGATGTACAGGCACGAGTTTAGCTGAATCTCAAGCGAGCGGGCACTGATCAAAGCGACTGGCGAAGAAATTAGGGCCTCTCGCAAGAAAACATTAAATAAGCATCCTCCTTGGCTAAGAGAAAACTCCTCTGCGACATACGTTCAATTCATGTCACTATTCCGCTTAAGATATGTATTAAAAAGTCAAGCAACTAAATAACGCACACAGCCTAAAAAAGACAACAACTACTAATATAGATGGCGTAATGGGGGGGGGGGGG